CGTCTTGATATGTCGTACCCGGCTGTGAAATGGAGTCAGCCAGACGTGCGACTGCAGAAAGAAAACTGTGGCGCCCATCCATGAGAGACGGCAACCGTGTATCTGATCATGGCTAGGTGGGTGCCAGAAGGTGGAAACCTGGCGACATGAGCTCCCCCTACTATCGAGAAGACGTCGAGGTCCGTCACTACCGGCGCGCTCAGACTCAAAAGTCGTCATCGCTCTCTGCCTTCTTCTTTTTCCGGCTTGTCGTCTTCTTCTTCTTGCCATCCACGTCCATGTCGCCCTCACTCTTCTCGGGCGCGTCGGCGACCTTGGACACGATCTCGTTGAGGAAGTCGAAGCGGTCGGTCTTGGTGATGGCTTGCTTGAGGTGGATGGAGCCGACGCGCTTGGAGTTGCGCGCTTTGGCTTCGGCGGCGGCTTTGGTGACGAGGGAGATCATGAAGAGCTCGAGCGCTTTCGCTGTGGAGAGTTAGATATGCTGGAGAGTGTCGCGCGGGCAGTACGTACAAACGACGACGGGCGTGACCTGGGCGACCTTGCCGACATCGTCGTCGGCCTGCATGATGCGCTTTATGCGGGCGACGGGGAAGTGGTTCTTGATGGTGATGTTGTCCGTGTTGGGCGTGTCTGCCCCGCCTACGCCATTGCTCGCGTCTGGCATGGCGGGCACTGACGCGTCGGGCAAGTAGTCTGCATCCTGCATGCTCTCCTCCTTCTTGACGCCGCGAGGCATACGAGGCGGTGGCGCAGGGTCGCTCTGCAGCGGCGGATCGGTCGTGGGCGGTGGGAGGGCGGCGCGACGTTGTCGAGGGGGCCGCGGTGTCCTGGATGCTGGGGGTGAGTCGCTGCAGGCTGCTCGGCGTAGTACGAGCAAGATAAATCTGGCGACGGTGGAGCCCACCTGCCGTCCATTGGCTGGCGTGGGGCCCGTGCTCGTGGCGCCTCTGCGACAAAACCACACGCCTGTTCCAAGCTTCTCTCTCCAGCCTCGTCACGTTCATCGTTCCGTCCAGGGGCGATGGATGCGCGTCGCCAGCAGTGGATGACGACACGAGCACGCCAGAGACCTCTCCGCCTTGTACAAACAGCATCGTGGTGCCTGCTCCGGTTCGCAACGACGAAACCCGCCCCCAGTCGCCTGAGGCCGTGGTTGATCGGCGCGCCGGCGGCAGGAGTCGCTGATGGTGTAATTACTTGATCTAATCTGACACTCTGCCGCGCTTCTTTGTTGACGAGGCGTCTTGACCTGACCACGCTTCGGCTGGTCTGTCGCGTCCCCTGGTTTCGCACGCCGATGCTGGGCGTCGCATATACACAATACACATACCATACACCTCACACGCCTCAAGTGTCTTTTGTGATGCTGCCATCCTTTTTATGCCCCTCTCTACCCGGGCCTTCTCTCAGCCATGTCTCTGCGAGGCCGTTCTTCGGGTCGTCTTCAGGGTAGCCTCGCTGCCGCCTGACGTCCAGAACCGCCTGCCGTATCCGCCGCGTGCACTCTTTGCGTATGCTGACGGCCTCGTCGGAGTACTTCAGGGCGTCGTTGAGAACACCGACTTGCAGTTTTCCTCCCTTCCTCTCCTCGTTTGCGCGCATCTGTTTCCAGCGTGCGCGCAAGTCGCCGAATACCTCCTCAGCATCCAGCTTCTCACCAAACGTCACCCTGACGTTCTGGAACGGCCGTGGTATAAAGCGCGGGAAGGTGCGTGTCTCGTGCATGATATTGTCGAAGCCTTCAATGAAGATGGGGACGATGTCTGGCATCGGCTCACTCTCAAGTACCAATCGAGATACTCCCCACTTGAAGTAGCGCATGATCCTGTCTTCCGTCTGGTGTATCATGCCTTCAGGGAAGATGTGCACCCACGCATGCCGCCGGTTCAGGTATGCCGAGGGCGCAGGAAACGTGTCTTGTCCGTTTGTAGAGAATGTGAGGTGGCCGTCGGTAAAAGGATCGATGAGGTCTGGGCTCTTGAGCGATGTGGTAGGCTTTTCTGGTGGTTCTTGCTCGTGGAACGGGCCGTGTGAGAGAAGACGGATCGCTTGCGTTACGGTGGTTTGGAATAGGCCGCCGAACTGGGAATGCGCCGAACGATGTGTGGGCAGAACTTGGCCAAAGGTAAAGAATGTCGAGAGTCCTCTGCTAGGGCGTCAGCCGAGCTTTCTGTGCATTTCAGAGGTGACATACTTGTTGGTGAAGCATAGATCGTAACTGCCTAATCCCCAGCGCAGATTGTCTGGGGTGAATATGTAGGCGAGTGGTAGTATGCCCCATAGTATGGGATCATCCATTCTGTATAGATTGTGTGAGCGCAGTCCATCCATGACGATTCGGAGATTATGGCAAACGTACGTACACGGAGATGTGGTTCGAGACTGCACGCTCGTCAGTACTGAGCATTTCCTGGGTTCTTGATAGTACAAGCACTTACCAGTTATGAGGCCTCGTTGCCTACCCGCTGGATCCTCTCTTTCATCCAATAACTTCAGGAAGCCCTCCATTCCATGCGTCTCAACCTTGCTCAGGCCATTCAGGAATCCTTTGCACAAGAGCCCGACAGCGCCCATGGTGAAGGCCGACGCGGCGCGCCATGGCCCGCTGGGGGCCTCTGGCTGCTCCTCTGGTCGCATTGGTGTAGGCGTGGGGTTGAGGGCGACATGTGAAGATTTCGCGCTCAATAGCTGGATGCCGCGGCCCACCAACGTCACTGCCAGGGACCGGCATTTTGGCGACACTGCTAGCGCGATTGCGGCCTGCACGTGCGCCAAGTGGATGGCTCTTCCGCTTCAACACGCCTTCTTCCATCACCACAGCAAGAGCTCGACACTTTACAAGCCTAGACTTGGACTTGCGAGTCTTGTGCATCATCCTCAGAGCTTGGACACGAGATCCCATAGCTGCGCCTGGCACTGTTGCTCGGATTGACCTACCTACTGAGTCCATCACGAAAAGTCGCGTCCCGATTTGCGAATCTTGAATGCTGAACCTAGCAACATGCCGCCTCCAAAGACCATATTCACGTCATACGAGCGGAATGCCCTCAAAGATCGATGGGGCTCACAGGCTACGCGTCTGACCCGTGACTCATTTCTACCTTTTGGCTCCTGCCAACTATGTCTCCTTCCTTCAGTAGACCCAGTGTGCTGTTCACAAGGCGATCTGTTCTGTCGCGAGTGCGCCATGACCAATCTTCTGGCGCAACGAAAGGAAATGAAGCGACTAGAGAAGCTGAACGAGCGCCAGAAGTTGGAGGACGAGGACCAAAAGCTGCGAGAAGAGGAGGAAGCGCGGCTGCTGGCAGTCGAGGAATTCGAAGCTGTTCAGATGGGGCTTTCGGTCAAAGCAGGTGCATCAGCACGAGTCGTTGGAAGGCAAGGCAGCAAGATCATGGTCGAAGAAGAGCAGGATGCCAAGGCTGGAGAGGCCAGAGGCACGAAACGCAAGTTCGAAATTGACCAAGAGGAACTCAAGCGCATCGCACAAGAAGAGCAGAGCAAAGCAAAACGCACATTCGACGCCGAGCGCAAAGCAGCCAAGGGTCATCTCCCCAGTTTTTGGGTTCCCGGCGAGACACCCGACCAACACCACAAAAGCGTAGAGAAGGCGAAGCAAACGCCTGTATGCCCGTCAAGCCACCCAGATCAACCGCACAGCCTGTCGCTGAAGAGCTTGACGAGCGTCAACTTCCACGAAGAAAAGTCGTCCGAGACGGGAAAGTCGGCTCGCACATGTCCCAGCTGTCAAAAAGCGCTCTCAAACAGTACGAAAGCCATGCTCGCTATACCTTGTGGTCACGTCCTATGCAAACCATGCGTTGATAAGTTTCTCCGGCCAGAACATCGCCATCAGCGAGATGCACATGATCAAGGACCGGAGCCCGAGACTGTTCATTGCTATGTATGCGATGCGGATCTTACGACAGTTCCAGACGCCAAGGAAGGCAAGAAGAAGAAAAAGGACAACGAGAAGGAAAAGTCGCCCAAGCCTGGACTTGTGGAGATAAGGAGTGAAGGTACCGGGTTTGCAAGTGGTGGAAAGGCGATGGTCAAGAGAGAAGGAGTGGCATTTCAAGTATAACAAGTCTTTTCTGATCGACCGAACTACGGGCGCGATGACAAAAGGCCAGCCACCATAGACTGCCAGTGTTTGAATGGTAGACCTCGCGGTGTACACATACTTCCGATATCTCTGCTTTGTGAGACTCCTTGCTGGACAATGGCAATCACCTACTCCACGATTTGATTCGAAGGATTTCTTTTAGACGGCGGCGGGATTGCGAAACTCTGCAGTAAGAGCTCGGAAGACGGCACCGTATTGGACTTTGATCTGGCGTCATGTACTCAGCAGTCACCGTTCTCGAACGCGATGGCCATCTTCCGGGCAAAGATTTACATGTTCATCACACCCAATACGCAAATTCGGAGTAGACACACAGCTAAGTGCAGCGTGTTTCAATCTCGCTGCCATTATATGAACGGAGCTTAGTGTACTCAGTTACCTGGGAGACTGGTAGGAAATTACCCAATTGTGCAAGGGCTAGAAAGCCACGCCGCTGTGCTGGGTCTCCATTATCGGCAATTTCCTTGCATCTCCCAACTCTGGGCATTATTGTTTCAAACGCGATCGATATGTTGTCAGGCAGTCTCGCCAATGATGTGCTGCTGCTGGTGTGTAGGTATGTTTGCGCCGTTTCACCGTGTGCGGGAAAGAGCTCATCACCCACTCACAAGCCCCACTCTAGCGTGATTGCCAATACAGTCAGGGTCGATGTGCAGGATGAGCCGACTTGCCGTCTATCAGGAACGACGGATCCTACGAGCTGAACGCGCCGTACGAGTGTGAAATGAGTGAAAGGTTCCATGGGATTTTTCGTTTGTGCGCTAAGAAAGTTTTGAGAAACTTGCTCACGACGGGTTTTGTATTTGAACTCTCTGCGACAGCCGGACGAAATCTCTTCGCATCCGATTCTCTTCCCCGCGATACAAACAGCATGTTCAAGATCATGTTGTTCAGTATGCTGTATGGTTACTTCGAGGGGCTTTGCAAGCAGTACCGCGAAACTCTATCGGTATGTTTCTTCCGCGCGGTTGACCCAATGACGCTCGACACTCGACATTCATTACCAGCTATACTCACATCTTATCAGGGCTTCAAACTCATCAGGCCGTTCTTCAAGCCATCCCTCGCTGTGCCGAATGAACAGTCCGTACCACCGATCCGAGAGAACTGGTGTAAGGTCTCCCCTCCTCATGTCCAGTATGCAAGACGCGTACTCATCCTCCAATCCGTAGACTATCCCGCCGATATCGCCAACGATCTCAAGGACTTCGACCTTCCACAGCGCATCAAGGAAGAAGTATATGCATGCGCATGGGAGTACGCACGCTGCGTGATTCCTCAGTACACCAATTGGAATCGCTATGTGGCCTTCATGCGTGTTATCGTCATCGGTATCGTCGCGGAGTGCAAAGGCGACTTGGTACAGGTGTCATTTGGCGACAATCTTCTGGGCTACAACCTCACTGCTCTTCTGGACGAGCTCTTTCAGGGCACAACTGAACAGTAAGCTGACCTGTTCTCTGTTTGCTGTATCTCGAACCTCACAGACTGATACTGATGTCATCCTATCTAGATACAGTGCGGCCATGGCTCGCGAGTTCCGCTGCTTCCTTCTCATTACAGCAGACAAAGCAAGCAAACGCCGTGAAGGCCTGTTGTTCAGACGTTACGTTACCGCCCTCGCCAAGTCGCCCCGACAATGGTTTCGCATGCGCGACACAGATGCTTTGATCCGTTTTACCATGGGCGCAGCTCTGGTCTGTAACGATCTCGATGACGTAAACTATACCGAAGAACAGTTCGAGGCTCTGGATGAACTCGGCGCCACTCTCTACGACAGTGTAGCCTTCTACAAACACCGGTCCGAGGGCGAGACAGTGAGTGATATCTGATCAAACGTGATGCGATGGACACGGACTGACCTAGGACTTTCAGAACTCCACGTTCGCATACGCGCCTTCCGATATCCGTATCAAGGCTTTCCACCAGTCCCGTGAGTTGCTCTGGGCTCTCGATGTTGCTTGGGCGGGCAAGCGAGAACACATGGTTATAATCAATTTCCTAAGGTTTTTCGGTGGTCCTATACACATGAGTAGGCTGATATTTCCATTCCCCGTAACGCACCGTTACTAACAAAGTTCTTTAGTGATGCGTCGCTACCGGTTCATCGAAGATGGAATGATGATCGGCCGGCCCGAGACTACCGCCGTCATCACACAAGCACGCCAACAGTTCAAGCTCTGGAACCGCGTCGACATGCAGGATGGCGATGCCAAGGACGTTGAGCGCTACAACCACTTAATGGCGAGAAGTGATGAGCTCATGTTCGACGGCCTACGCGAGTTCCTCGACGCGAGCAACGACGGTACTTGTAAGGCCTGTCAGTACCGTGAGACACATGGTGGGCATACTTCTTTTTCGTTTGGTGGAATAAAGCTATGCGACGGCTGCAAGGAGTCTTGGGGTGCGTACGTCGAGTCTTTCTCAGCTCGGTTCGCGGATGTGTTTCCGGAGATCAAGAACGTGATGACAACTTAAGTCGGGTATTGAGTCGATCAGACACGTGAAGCGCGGAAACCGGCTTTCATCAATTGCGGGATGAGATAAAACCCACAATGGTATTACCACGCCAACCTAGGGAAAAACTGAACAGCCTGGAGCCTACGTTGACTTTAGGTCACCTCCTTTGCAAGGTTTTAGGTTAATGTAGTCTGCAGACCTGTTCAGCTTTTCCCTTGTATAAGGTGTTACTGTAACTGTCCATTGACTGTTTAATCAAAAACACTCCCACGACTCCATTTGCTTGCCCTCCTGATTCTCTTGCCATATATGTAGAAAACGAAAGGCACTGGGATAAGCAGTGCCGCGAATCCACCAGTGATGCTACTCGCGGGGCCTACTCCAACGTTATGATACAGCGGCGTCACTACCAACGGAAAAGCGCCCGCAAAGGCGCTTCGAAGAAAAGTATTCGCTGCTACTGCACTCGCTGCATACAACGTAAATGTGTCGACCAGGTAATTCAGAGCAGCTTGGAAGATCGTGAAGAAACCAGTTCCCAGCAATACCAGCCCAAGGACGGGAGCGATCCAATGGTATTGAGGGTCCGCTGTCCACCCCAGGATGAACTGACCGACTGAGAAGAGTACCGAGCCGAGCATCATCGGTGGCAGACGCGCTTCCGGAACGGCACGATTACCAGCTGCACGATAGACTTTGTTGTAAAGAAGCTGGTTATAGGCGTTGATGCTGCAGCCGATGATTGCGCCAACCAAGATACCCAGGAAAGGCAGCGTTGCGCTTACAGCTGGCCATCCCCTCATTTCGCCAAAGATAATGGGAATGCCTAAACGTGGGTGTAGAAGTCAGTACGTATCTCATATGCAGATTGTACAGCGATATCTCTTACCTCCCAGCATCATGTATAGAATTCCGTAGCAGAAGCTGGCGTAGAGTGCGACGAGAAAACAAATAGGTGTCATCAGAAGCTGTAATGGCCGAAGAAGAAACTTCTTAGACAATTCTTTGATGCTGACATCCCACTCCTCGAACTTCGTGTGAAGGGCCCAGTTGCCGGTTTCGTGCCGCAGGCGACGTGCTTTGTAGACGAGGAGTTTCGGTGGGTAGCATTCATCGATGAATATAATGTCGATGAACAGAATGGTTGCCTGAAGTATACCCGTGAAGTATTCGGTCCAACGCCAGCCAAGTGATGGATTAGCGACAAAAGCTGCTGAGACAATTGGCCCTAGACATGGACCGCCAACGACCGCCATAGCGTAGCCTGCCATGGCTAAGGCTCTCCATGCCGGACTATACAGATCGCCCAACACACCACCGGTATTCGTGACTGGTGCGCTAGCAAAGAAGGCACCGAAGAACCTTGTAATCATCAGTGTCTGGAAGTCCTTTGCTACGGCACTACCGAAGCTAAAGCAGATTGCAATGAACATGGGCGTCAAAACTGCCAAACGTCTCCCGTAGACTTCGGAAAGTGGAGCCCACAGAAGCGGTCCAAGTCCAAATCCAAACAGGAAGAGCGTAGTGCCCAACACTGCGACCTGGTTTCCTACGTTGAACTCGGCTGCTATCTGTCGTGTACCTGCAGAATACGCAGAAGAAGCCCATGTCGCGCTCATAGTCGTGAGGCCATACATCATGGTCGTTGTGATCTTCTTCTTTGTGGGCCAGTTCATGGGGCGATAAGGATCGTCTTCGCCCTCAAAATCTACTAGCACATCTGCAGTGGTCTGCTGGTGCGCCAGAGGATGGGAAAAGGGCGCAACATTCGGTCGTGTACGTATTCGTGAAAGTGCGGTGTCGCGTCTAGATATTGTCCGGCTCAAAGGCTGATTCATACCACTCGCCGTGGCTATCGCTCCTCTGTCTCTTGGTAGATTGCGTCTGCTGCGTGATCGCGAAATGCTTTCTTGAAGTTCTCTTCCCGATGGACGGTGGCCGTCATGATCGGCATCCTTCTCTTCCTCATACTCCGACGATGAATCGGATGTTGACTCGCTCCGTTGTCTTGGTCTAGATCGCCTTCCACTCTCAAGATCTACGTCGGTGTTTGATATCGAAGTGGGATTCGTGTCTGATGATCGTTCGTCTTTAGAATCCATGACTACAGTGGTTCATATCTTGTCGCTTTTCTCAACGGTTTATTCTGGGATGCTTAAATATGAACTACGATCCCTGTTCTTGGTGCGGCTCGAAGAATGAGAAAGATTGCCGGAAACGTGGCAAGTGCCGGACGCCTTTATGATGCTAAAGCCGTCAGTAACAACAGGGCGAGGAATTGATAGAACATCGGTAACGCTAAGTAATGACAGATGCCACAAAATTCGACTACCGTTGGGTATCTCCGGTCAATATGACGTAGCTTTTGCGTACTAATCAGCTGCGCTAACCTCGAACGGTATAGTACATTCATTGCTCGGCCTTCTCGAGGTGTTATTCCCAGACCTCAGTTCGGATAAATCTCCGGCTGACAGATTTTCAACAAGTATCGCTCGCACGAAGACAATGCGTAACAATCGAGGAAAGACGCGTGCGCACCGTGAACGCCCCATTTTCGGTGACGCGACGACAATGACGTAACGACTTGCAGCAAAGGCGTGCAACGTCCTTCCGCCAGCTCTTTATTACTTCTATAGCACGTAAGAAGCATAAAACCTGGAATTGAGACACTATGGGTACATGGCTAACATTACTGGTTTCACTCGACAAGTAGTTTTCATCTACCTATCCAGGTAGGTCATTAAGTATTCTTACAAAGCTCCAGGGGTATTCTTGATGGCCTGAGCAGCAGCCTCGCAGTCCTCGCCTAGCGGAACAACAGCGCCATATCCGACAGCCTGCCCACAGCCAGTGAAGCCATAAACTCCCTGGTAGAATCCGGAACCATCTGGACTGGCCTTTTGCAAGGTAGCAGAGAATACATCGGCACCCGCTGAAGGACCAAGAGTTACGTTGCCCGATCGATAAGTTGGCTGTGCGGTGGCGTTGTTAAAGAAGTAGACGTTGCGCTGGCACTTGGGTGAAAGCAGGCTTCCAACGCTGCCGAGCAAGAAGGGCTGGTTGACCATGCTTTTCCACATGTCGAGGGAGTATTTGGGTGCTGCTTGGTTGGGTTCGCTAACGAACTTGAGATCGAACGCCTCGGAGTACAGGCCAGGACCGCTGACCGGGTTGGGTGCCTGTGCCCACTTCGAGTTGATCCCGAAAGATCCATCCCTGTATGATTGGAATGGTGCATTGAGTGGTAGAAATGCGCCGATTCTGGTTTGAATACCGCCTATAGTAGCTAAAGGGTCGCGCGTTAGCTATAATCCACAGGCTGAACTGAGTTCGCGTCAATTACTTACCAACTAGAGATGGGACAAGGCCGGCAACATAACCCTGGGTTACTTCGTCCACGCCGGCAAGGTACGACACGAGGGGCGCGTTGAGTGGTGTCTTGGAGCTACCGACGCCGACGTAGGGGATCATAGAGCTGCCGACCATCAATCCTGTAGCAAGCTGGAGGCCACCCTGGCGGATATCGGTGTTGGCTCCGGCGTTGACGATGACCGGGTGCATGCCCTCAGGAAATTTCAGCTCTTCGGGAAGAGATAGCAGATTTAGTCCGCCTAGGTTGACCAAGCTCGAGAACGACTCCTTGAGGGCCTTCATCACAGCATCCTTGGGTACCGGAACAAGGAACCAGTCTGCAGCATGTATCAGTACAAGATTTCCTTACAGTCCAGAGAATTCACACTCACTGCTGGTCGCACTCATAGTGCGATCTTGCTGGTTGTAGATGGCAACCTCATTTGGGCACGTTGTGCTTTGGCCAGCGACGAGGCTCGCGGCAGCAAGCAGTACTTGGAAGAGGAAGCGTGCCATGGTGTAGCTGATGGTTCGGGTGGATGGTTGAGTAGAGAGCGGTCTTACGGTGGCATAGGCCCGTTATATACAAAGATGCGCTCTTACTTTGGGATCGTCGTCATACCCAGGTAGACTAACATGGTGCTTTGCATCACAACAATAACTCATAGCTCTGTCAGCGCCTTGCTTCCGAGCCTGACCGTAGCATCCGGAGCGATTGGGCGCTCTGGACATTGAGATCGACTGCTAGCATTCCCATGCTCATTCGGTGGGATGGACATCACGGCTCCTGTTCTCTGCGCTAGCCATCAATTAGGTTTCCGTTCGCCCCGTTTCGGTTTTTAATGAACCCACTTGTAATTCAGGCTAGCTACAAGTAATCGCTCGGCAGAAGAACATCAACGATCGTCGGCACCAGCGCTTCCGGTCCGCTCCAATCCCTTCCAGAAAGACTCTTACATCGCGCGGCTATGAAGCTCCCGAATACCGGAACCTATGTGACGCGAGCTACCTGACTCAACTCATCTATCTAGCGTTTTGTTATACAACCGTACACAATGATGATATAACATGGGATGACACTTGTGTGGTCACTCGAGACTTGATATTTTTGGATTTGAGATACCCCTATTACGATTTAACCACAAACCCATGCGGCCACTTCCAGGTATGCGTGAGAGCTTACTCAAATGAGTACACTCTAGCGCTTATGGTACGCTATGGGAGATGACGACGTGAAGCAGTTTAGAGTTTTCCTATTCAGGAACAGGAAACTTGAAAGAACATGAAGTGACGTGAAGAGCGCTAAGCTTAATCTTCCGATAAACTTCTTCCAACTGGTATCATGTGTTTTGATTTTGCACGGCTTCATGACCAACATGCGCAAACCGCATTATTAGCCTCATAATCCTCGAAGGTGACCGTGCAGATGTTTGCATGCTTTACCAGATCGTATTTTCCCTGAAGCAGTATTCAACTCTTCAAAGGTTAACCACCCTTTCATGATGATGACACGAAAAGAGTTGGCAGTCAGCATTTCGGATACCTGGGTAGATAGTCAGCGCGCTCACCACCTTGAATGTGATGTTTATGTAGACGGAGAGTTCGAGGGAAGGGACAAAATGCCATGATCGCTCGGTTAATGCAGCCCTCCCCACACGCGCCCAGGTGGCTTGCGGGACGTGTATGTATGCCAAGCCACTAGCACACGCCTCCAACGCGCGCGAACTTCCTTGAGGCGTGACGTTTGCGGTTCCTCAGCCTTGTCGCACCTTCTCATTCTCCCTTACTTACCATTCTTTTGGCCGCTTGTACAGGCGCATATGCTCAGCAATTCTATGCGACTTTACTCCCGCTATTTTTATTACAATTGAGCACAGCACCCGGCCATGACAGATTACAGCAAACAGACAGTCGCGCAACTGCGGCAGGTGTTGAAGGACCGGAGTATACCCAGCACCGGCTTGACACGAAAGGCGCAAATTATCGAGAAGCTCCAGGATGCCGACCTCGCTGCCGAAACTCCCAGTGCGCCAGACGAGGGTACCGAAGGCGCAGACGCGCCGCCGGATGCGGTAGAGCAGGTGAACACCGAAGTTGGCGACGACACTGCCACCAAAGAGCATGTCCCTGGACCAGCGCTCTCTGAGGCTGGAGGTATGCGCACTATGAGCACATCGCTGCCGCTAGGTGCTGACCCGAGTCTAGAAGCAGAGCAGCCTACACGCGAAGCCGAGCCAGAGCCTCTACCCGTACCCGCAGCGACTACCGATTCCCTCCCCGAGACAATTTCGCACATTGACAGCGATATTCCTCCACCAGACGAGATTAAAGCAATAGAGCGGCCTGCCGAGGACACAACCAATGCGGAGGAGCCCGGCTCAATACAACCGGCGGGAGTCTTCAATGCACCGCCCGCAGATGCCGAGGATGCGGTTGGCCCAACCGTGACGGAGCCTACGGATGCGGAAGTTGGAGACGTAAAGAAGGTCGAAGTCGCAGAGGGCGAGCTGCCAGATGCTCCAGGACCGGCTGCTGAAGCTCTGCGGTTGGCGCAGCCAACGTCTGGACTCCCCGAAGATTTGCAAGACACGAGCATGGACGCAAAGACAGCTTCACCTGTGTCCAATGAGCAACAATCCGTTGAGAATCCGGAACTGCTTGCTGTTCCAGAGCCCTCGACGACGGAAACATCGAGGCTCAACACGGAGGAGGTAGAAACAGACTCGAAGAAGAGAAAGAGGAGGAGTGACACCCCCGAGATGGCGGACCAGGAAATCAAGGCAAAGAAGCACAGGCCCAGCCAGGAATCGGCGCCTGGCGTCCACCTGCAGGAAGACGAGGACACCGTCATGGAGCAAAGAAGATCGGAGGAAGAGACCGCACCTTTAGCAAATGGCAATCCAAACGAAACAAACGACACTCGCTCTATACCAGCCGGGGAAGATCCGCCAGTTGTGGAGACTGACACAAGACGCGAGAAAAAGGAAAAGGCCTCTCGGTACAAAGACCTCATGAAATCCAACGCAGACGACACACCCCAGGAAGCCTTGACTGATGACAGACCCACGGTACCCGCGCTCCACCCTGTGACATCTGCATTGTACATCCGCAATTTCATGCGCCCTCTGCGTCTGGAACCACTACGAGCACACCTAATCTCTCTTGCCTCGCCGCCATCCACCTCACAGGACCCCACAATTGTGGAAACCCTTTTCCTGGACGTACTCAAGTCGCATGCGCTTGTACTCTTTAGCACTAAGACTGCTGCATCACGAGTGCGAGCATCTTTACACGGCTCCATCTGGCCGCCGGAAGGTAACAGGAAAGAGCTCTGGGTCGACTTCGTCCCGGATGAGCACGTGAAGGATTGGATCAAAGAGGAAGAGGACGCTGCAGCTGCCGAGAAAGACGCTCGTGCAAACAAACGCTCACACAACCCCAAACGGTTTGAAGTCGTATATCCAGAGTCCAGTGATGGCTCTGTTGTAGCTGTATTCCAGGAAGTCGGTTCAGGCGCTCCTGCAAACGCACCACGAGGCCCACGCGCAAGCGCAGATGCACGGATGCCATCTATACAACAAGCACCAGCACCATCGCTCCCAACAGCCTCACTGAAAGATACCCGACAGAACACTGAAGCTTCATTCAAAACACTCCACGATCTTTTCAGCTCCACAGAAGCGAAGCCCCAACTCTTTTATCTCCCCGTTTCGGATGATATTTCCGATCTGAGGCTGAAGGAATTGGACGCCGAGACAAGTAGAGACTGGGCACCTGGCCAAACAAGGAAGGGGCGGGGCATCAAGACTGAGATGAAGTACAAATACAGTTTTGACGACGATGACAGGGTTGTCGAAGTTGGTGAAGAGCGCCCTGACTACAGAGGTGGCAGAGGCGGTAGTGGCTACAGAGGGCGAGGGAGGGGTGGATATAGAGGGAGAGGGGCAGACATTTGGAGAGGATGATCTACCCGAAGGGATGCAATCTTTGTGTAAGAAATATCGAAAGTCGAAGAACCGGGCCAGGTGCTCTGCAACAAATGTTCTTGGCCAAATCCCCCTTCCCTATGTCAGGCCGCTGCTCGAAATTGCAGCAGGCAAGAACGACGGCTACAGTTTGCTGTAGCTTCTTCATTGCAATGCTCCTCCTGCACCGACCTTGTTGCGCATGGTAGGGTGGCTCCCTACGTAGTCGCATACTGATTTCCTCACTCAATTCGCACAACTGACGACAATGGCCGCCCGGTGTCCAGGCGATCAGCTCACGAGCGACCTCATCGCCGAACAGGCTTTGCCCTTTGGCCATAAAGATATCACCTTCCACCTGCTGACTCTAAATGTCTGCTGCACTCTGGCGTCATTGGCGATTGGGGTTTCCGTCTTCCACATCATGCAACACGCACTGCACTACCGACACCCACACGAACAAAAACATATTATACGTATCCTCTTCGTCATTCCGGTCTACGCGTGGACCACATTGCTCTCTTATGTGTTCTACAGAAGGGCTGTCTACTGTGAGCTTGTCCGCGAATGCTACTCCGCATATGCTGTCGCGAGCTTTTTCACGCTTATGTGTCATTATATTGCACCTGATCTCCATGAGCAGAAAGAGTACTTTCGCCACGTCGAACCGAAGAATTGGGGTTGGCCGTTGAATTGGTTCCAGAAGCTGACCGGCGGCGAGCACAAAGGATTGCTGAGGAGGCCGAGGAGCGGCATTACCTGGTTCAATGTAAGTGATGGCCTAGCCTGTATTCTTTGAGAGGTTACTGATCATCCGCAGATCAACTACATCGGGATATTCCAATATGTCGTTCTTCGTACCATCGTAACAACCGTAGCCGTCATCACGTCATCCCTCGGTCAATTCTGCAAGGGAAGTCATAACGTACGCTACGCTTCGCTATGGACGGCCATCTTTGATGCACTCTCTGTTCTTGTTGCAATGTATTGCCTACATCAGATCTACGGGCAGCTCAAAGAAGATCTCGCACCCAACAGGCCCGTCTTCAAGATGGTTTGCGTCAAGCTTATCGTCTTCTTTACTTATTGGCAAACATGGCTCATCTCGCTGCTCATTCAATACAGAGCACTGCGACCTACGCGCTTCATTGCTGAACTGGATCTTCATGTCGGAATTACCTGTCTGCTTACATGCACTGAGACTTTGGTCTTTGCTGTCCTGCATTACTGGGCGTTCCCATGGAGGCCCTACAAGATCGATCGGCTTCCGAAGTTCCCTGAACAAAGATACGAGTGTGGACCCAATGAAGCTTTGGTGGAGGTACTGAATCCTTGGGATTATTGCTGCGCCGCTGCTCGCGGCTTCCGTTGGCTATTCCATGGCATTCACTTTCGGAACGAGAGCGTAGCCCACAAGTCCGATTGCAAAACTCATGGTCCCAGGACTCGAGGCGGCACGCAGTCAGAGCCACTACACGACGGATCGAAGAATAGTCGGAGGTGCAAAGAGAAGGGTCGCAAAACAGCTTGATAGACTCGTGGACTGCGTAC